TCTAACTGAGGACCAACGCAGTACCCTGGGTATAATAGCACTACCTTAACTTCCTTTTTTTTTTTAATGTTTAATGAGCAGAACTTCTCCTTGGAGTGGCCAGACCTCTGAGTAGTTGTCTTTGTTCTCCATCAGACAATAGCCAAGCGCCAGGCTTGGAGCTCGGTGTATTCTTAGGCCTGAGAAGTATTCAGTGTGAAAGGCACCTCCGTCGCCAGCTTGAAGGTCATTCCTCTTGTAAAACCCCATGATTGCACTTTATTTAGCAACTTCCCAGCTGTTGTTTTAATCACTGGTTGTCTGCCTTTGGGAGGCCTTGGGCCATGATAGAGGCCACCTTTTTTGAGTCTTTTTCCCCCCTTTCCCGCCCAGTGAGCAGGTTACATTCCGATTTCCCTGACTAGGCTTGTCATTTTAACTGGGAAATTTGCTTTTCCTCAATGGTTATCTGCCAAGGGATAAAAATAAACACAGACCTGGCCCCCATGCCATTGGACTAATTAGGGCCCCTCCCAGGAGCTTCTAGTTGGACATCCCAGTGGGCCCACTTCTAGGATCAGAGAATTTTGAGCTGAGGAGAACTCAGTCACCCAGTCCAACCCCTTCACTTCACACAGAAAGAAACTGAGGCCAGACAGATTTAGGTAGCTCACCCAAGGTCACAAAGTAGCAGAGATGGGATTTGAACCCAGGTAGGCCTTGCTTTGAGTGATTGGGAATGAAAATGCAAAAATTTTAAAATAGATATAGGGAAAATCTCCCTTTCAAAGTGGTTTCCCGCCTGCTCCAAGCAGGTCTTTGTATTTTTGAATCTAACTAGAAATTGAACAGGCATATAGGTGGCGCAGTAGATAGAGTACCGGGCCTGGTGTCAGGAAGACTCATCTTCCTGAGTTCGAACTTGGCCTCAGACACTTCCTAACCGTATGTGACCTTGGGCAAGTCACTTCACCCTGTTTGCCTCAGTTTCTTCATCTGTAAAATGATCTGGAGAAGGAAATGGCAAACCACTCCAGTACCTTTGCCAATAAAACCCCAAATGGGGTCATGAAGAGTTGGACATAACTGAAACTAAATGACTGAACAACAACAAAGAAAGTGAACGACTTCATTGCACATATAACTTAACTACCCCTATTCTGCAAAATCAGAAGGGTAATCCCCTTCCACTAATGTGGGGGGAGGAGAGAGTAGTGAACTTAAAATCATTCTTGACTCTTCAGAATGTGTATACATATATATATATATATACATACACATATATAGTCACAATGTATTTGAATTGATACTTCCTTCATGGACCTCCAAGACAGAGCAGAGAAAATAAAAGTAAAAACATATAGAATTTTTAAAAAGAACTAACAGAAACCACCTCGAAGCCAGAGTAGGGCTTTGATCAGGGTTGGGCTGCTCTCCATAAAAGGAAGTGACTCCTTGCCTAGCCAGAGGATGGGCCAAGAGAACAGTACGATGACCCAAAGATGACTTAACCAATCCCAGGGGAGGAGAGAGTTGAGGCCGGAGACTGATGGAGGCAACATTGGCCCCGGGCAGCTGAATCTCCCCATTGTTTAGCTTCATTGTTCAGTACCTTCTCTCTTCCCCCAGACAGAAACCTGGCCTGGTTGCCCAGCCAAAGAACAGGAGCATAGGACCACAGATGGAGAGCTAGAAGGCACCTTAGAGGTCACTGAATAAACCCCCTTCATTTTACAGGTGAGAAACTGAGGCCAGGAGAGATTAAGAGACTTGCCCAGGGTCACACAGCTAGTAGTAAGTGTCTGATGGGGGCCTTGAATCAGTTAGTCAATAAGCATTTATTAACTGCCTTTTATGTGCCAGGCACTGTGCTAAATGCTGTGAATACAAAGAAAGGCAAAAGACAGTCCCTGCCCTCAAGGGGCTCAAAGTCTAACGTGGGAGACAACAAGCAAACAAATCCGAACGAGCCCAGAACTTCCTAACACCAAATCTAGCATTCTGTCCACTAGACCCTGTGGCCTCTCAAGATGGTTTTAGGACAGATGCTTTTAACCTGTAATCCATGATTTTTTTTTAATATTTTGAGAATGGCATTTCAGTATAATCAGTTTCCTTTGTAATTCTATGTATTTTATTTTATACATCTAAAAAATCTTATTCTGAGAAGGGGTCTATAGACTTCACCAGATTGACAAAGGGATCCATGACACACAAAAAACTGAAGACCCCTGTAACTAGGAGAAGATGGCTAATCCAGCCTCTTAAATCTTCAACTTGAATGAGTTGTCCCAGATTACTGCCCCTCCCACCAAAATTCCTTCCACTAAGTGTATTCTGGGGAAAATGGAAATGGGAATGTGTTTCTCATGCCAAAATGGTACCAGTACAGAAAGTGAGTTTTATTGGCTTGTGGATCCCTACATTTTCCAGCTACAGGAACACAAATAACACCTATGGTGGTAGAGAAGGCTCTTGGGAGCTAGCTGGGCTGCTGAAGCAGAATTTCTAGGATGCCACTAGTTTGCCAAAGTTAGGGTCAGATTGACTGCCTTAGTGTTTCTGATAGGTGGTCACCAAACGATTACACACGACAAAACGTCAGAGCTGGAAGGACTCTTAAAGGTCACTGAGTTCAACTTTCATTTTACAAAAGAGGAAACTGAAGTTTGGAGAGAAGAGGAAAGATCTTGCTTGGAGTCACACATCTAGTAAATGGTTGAGCTGGGACTAACTCTGGTCTTCTGCCTACAAATCCAGTGTTTTTCCCACTGTGCTAGGCTGCCCTCCTGGTAATTATGAAGATTGCAATCAGCTCCACCATCTCCCATCTGAGTATGTTCTTGGCTTGGAGACCATCAAACCAATCTAATCTATTGATTAGGCCAAGATGGACGTTGGGTTCTAAGAATATTTATCCAAGTCACTTTCAAAGAAGTGAAAATGGATAACCAGAAAGCCAAAACAAAGTTTATTTCAGACTAACCTAAGATAGCTTTCCCCGCCCTGCTCTATCATCAGTGCTAACACTGCCTTCGCAGTCCCCCAGGCTGGAAACCATGAAATCATCTTTGACTCCCCTTCCCCACAGCCTCCCCCACATGCAGACCATCCTGCTGCTTCCTCCCTGGCACAGTTTCTCAGCTCTTCTTTTTTTCTATGCAGCCCAGGTCTTTTGCCTTGCATGAACCCCCTCACTCTTAGATTGTGGCCACAACCTTGCCGCCTACTCCATTCATATAGCCCACAAGCAGCAGCAAATACCCACCCAAGGAAAACCCCTTCAGCAGAGAGGGGAAGGGGATTTCCCCAGGAGGCAAGCTCATCGTCTGAGAGAGGTCACAACACCCTCCCTTTGGCCTTTCCCCCTCCCCCACAAAATCTCTCTGGTCTTTACCTTGTATGAGGGGAGCCTGTAAAATATGAAGTTTTTTTTTTTTTCAAATAGATATGCGAAAATGGAAAGGTAGCCGCATGAATGTGTCCTCTTAAGGACTGAGCAAGGATTAAGGACCAGGGTGGGGAGAGGGAGGAGTGCATCACTGTTATTCTAGTCATGCTTCCATTTCTCCAAACATGCAGTCTGGTGTCAGGGAGAGAGCGCTTGGTTCAAATCTCAATTCAATCATTCACTAGTTGTGTGACCAAAAATCAGTTGCTTTTAACTGAGGAGGTTAGGCTAAATTCCATCTCAGGCCTCTGTTATAACTTTAAATCCTATATGTTGGAGTGAATAGAATGCTAGACCCGAGTTCAAATCTTGCCTCAGACACATTAGTTGTGGTACCCTGGGAATGTCACTTTTCCAACCTCAGTTTCCCCATCTACAAATAAGGAGGTTGGGTTCAATGGGCCTTCAATGTTATTCTTCTTGGGAACTATTTTCAAGGCCTCAATAATGGCAAATGTTCATTCTTGGATTTTGGAAATGATCAAAACAGAGCTAAAACGGGAAATTTTCACATCTGGGGCCCCAGGACAAGCTGTGTCCAGGGCAAGTGGCCCAAAGCCTTGGCTGAATAATGTGAGGTGGAGGAAGAAGGAAGAACACCCCAGCCCATAGTCCGCTAGCCTCCTACCCCAACTGATTATTCTTGCTAACTTTCGGCTAAATTCAACCACGATGGTGAAAGGTCTTGAACAGAAGATAAGTGAAAGAAACTAAGGATGTTTAGCCTGATAATGAGAAATTCGGGGGGGGGGCGTGAAAGCCAGCTTCATTTAGATTAGACTTGTTCTGTTTGTAGGATTCAGAATCAGGATTGATGGGAAGAAGTTACAGTGGAAAATTTAGGCTTAACGTCAGGAAATACTCCCTAGCAATATGAGTTCTTCCTAAGGAGAATGGATCACCTTAAGAGATGGGGGCTCCCCCTCGATCAAGAAGAATAGATGACCTCTTGTCAAGTATCTCATATCAGGTATTCCTTTCATCATGGGTGGGACTAAATGGCCACCAGTCCCTTCCAGTCCTCAGATTCTGTGATGCTCTGGTTCTGTGACTATATCTGCTATCAGTACCCTCGAAATTCAGCAGCCTGGGACAGAGTCCCGGTTGCCCTGGCCTCATAATTTCTTCCTCTGTAAAATCAGAGAATTGACTAAATATGCTTGTCTGTAACATTCTGATCCAACTTCCAGAATTCATAAGGTATTGTAATATTGCTCAGTTGAATTAGATGGCCAAAACAGACTCTCTCTCTGTTTCTCTCTGTCTCTGTCTCTGTCTTTGTCTCTGTCTCTCTCTGTCTCTCTGTCTCTCTGTCTCTGTCTCTGTCTCTGTCTCTCTCTTTCTCTCTCTCTGTCTCAATCCCAGAGGCCTGATTACACTCATGGAAAGTATTTGGTATCCTCAGATCACATTTATAAAAACACTTTCTCACAAAAATGGGTTGACAATGCCTCCTCCAAATGCTGCCCCCTGCTCGGTTCCTCCAACTCTGGGGCATCAGTGAGCCACTGATGACCTAAGACTTGAGCTAACCCAGTTCCCACTGCTCAATCCAGGGCCCCATACATACCAGTTCTGTTGGTTGCATCATCAGGCCTTCAGTAATGGGCTTGAATTTTCCTCCTCAGAATGCAATGCATTTCCCTCTGCATGTTCCTTCTTTCAAATACATTAATGTGGGGAATAGGAAAGGAAACCTGGAGCTGACGGCTAACAGGGGGACCGTCTATGTCATCTGCTCAAAGATGCTCACTTTCAGAAGAGGAACAATGGGCGGGTCTCCACATTTTCTGGCGCCCCTTCTGAAGCCTAGGAAAGAAAAGATAACATCCACTGAGCCAGGGAGCTTCATCTGGGCAGATCTACACCCTGCCTGCTATAGCTGCATCATGGCCTGGTTCATTCTCTGCAAACACCCCTGGGAGAAGGAGATGCAACCCAGTGGTTGTGCAGCAGGAGGTCCCTTAACCTGGCATTTTACAACCCTTTCCACTCTGGCTCTAGCCTTGCTGTACTTTGGGCACTCTGCGTTCCAGCCCAAGTGGCCTTCATGCCATTCCCCATCCTGGGTACATAATCTCTTGCCTCCATGTGTTTGCATAGGCTGAACCGGGACAGCACTCACTCCTTAGCTCTGATTTATAGAATCTCTAGATTCCTTCAAGGGCAGCTAGGTGGCGCTGCAGTGGATAGAGTGACAGGCCTGGAATCAGAAATACTCATTTTCTTGAGTTCAAATCTGATATCAGATACTAACTAGTTGGGTGACCCTGGGCAAGTCACATAGTCCTGTTTGCCTCAGTTTCCTCATCTGTAAAATGGTCTGGAGAAGGAAATGGATAACCATTCCAGTATCTTTGTTAAGAAAACCCTAAATGGGGTCACAAGGAGTTGGACACCACTGAAAATCCACTCAACAATAGTAACTTCCTCATTCCAGGTGGAGTGCTCTAATCACTCCACCACCTAGCTGCCACCTACCTCATTTCCTCACTACCATCCTGGGAGGAAAGTTGTGTATTAGTATCCCCATTCTACAGATGAGAAAACTGAGGCTCAGAAAGGGGAGCCAATGTCTTTAGGAGAGCACTAGACTTGGATTCAAGACACACCTGAATTCCAATTCAAGCTCTGCACCTTGGCTAAGTTATGTCATCTCTCTGGGCCTCATTTTCTTCAGCTAAAAACTCAGATGATCTCTGAGGTCCTTCCTAGCTCTACATCCCAAGTTTCCATGTTGGGAAACAAAGGATCATAGAATTAAGCTCTCCAGCTGCCTCCCCCAGCAGAGGCAGGATTGGCAGCCAGGTCTCCTGACTCCAGGTCCAGCAGGCAGGATACTTGCATCCTTTGCATTCTGCAGTCATGGACACATAGAGTTCTGATGGAAGGGGGCTAGGGGAGGTAGTGTGGGACAGGTTGGGTAACATGGAGGAGAGAATTCCTCTTGCCTCTGGGAGTCTGCTTGGGGTTAGAGAGTGCCTAGGGAAGGGTGAGACAACAGGTAAAGTCCTCAAACATGGGGCAGCTGGAGGATCCCTTGTGACTCACAAGGCCCTCAGCTACTTGGATCTACTGTAAAAGAATCCCGTAGCCCCCCCCCCAAACTCTCATTGTGACTGGAGGGCAACAAATGTGTTTTCTCAGTCAGGAATCTTCTTAAGAGGAAGTTCTCACGACCACAGCTGTTTCACTGCCTGTTGATTGAGTGGATTAATGCCTAGCAGCCTGTCAGTACAGCTGTGTCACAATATACATTTTGTACCCCAAATATTCCCAGCCTGACGTGCAAACAGAATAGGCAGTAGTCTGTATGGCTTGATTGGAGGGTCACCAAAAGGTCCTCATGCCCACAAATATCTCCCCTACTTGTCTGGAAATCCTACCATTAAAGAGTCATTTATTTGGGTTAAGGCTTTGTGTCACCAGGAGGCCCCCAAGAATTTCACCTTAGAAAGCAGAGATCAGGACCCTGAGACCATGGGATCCAAGGCTGGGGAGAGAAAAGGGCAGGGAAGAGTAGTGAGAGACAGCCTAGCGGAGCTGGGAGAGTGGCTGGGAGAGGGACTTGGCTTCAGACCTGACTTTTAACCTTGCCTCAGACACTTGCTACTATGTGATCCCGGGCAAGTCAATGTAATTCTCTAAGACTCAGTTTCCCAATATTGAATAGGGACAAGAACTGTAGCCCTTACCTCCTAGGGTTGTTATGAGGTTAAGTCAAGTCAGCAAGCATTTATTATTAAGGTTGCCTAGATGTCAGTTATCCTATCACCATTGTGATACTAGGGTGATAGGCCCACTTGGGGAAGCTCAGTAAGAGATTTTACCACCCCTGGGAAGATGACATTAGGGGAGTGGGTCTGGGAGGAGGAAAAAGGCATGAGAGAAAGGGTGGGCAACACCCAACTGGGCCAAGTCTAGCTGGTAAAACACAAACTCCTCTCTGTCTTGAATTCCCCAGCACATGGCCCAGGAATGGGTACATAGCAGGTGCTTGCTAAGTGGATGTGCAGAAAACCCTTGGGGGGGGAGGCCAAGCTAGACAAAAGCTCTTTTCTAAATCTGATGACCCTAAGAGAAACGTCCAGCAAAGGGGGCAAAAGAGGACCCCCAAGCCACTGAGCAAACATGAAGCCAGGTCTGGAGAGGCCGGATGTCTTTGACTGTTTACCGAGGAGGGGCCATCCTGGTCTGGCCACATCTGGCCAACTGTGGTCAGTTCTAGGCCACACATTTTAGGAAAGCCATTGACAAACTTGAGCCCACCCAGGGGAGGGTGAGCAGGATGGCGAGAGGCCTGGAGACTATCCCACAAGAGGAGCTAGAAAGCATCTCAGAGGCTGTCTATCTAAACACCCTCCCTTTACAGATAAGGAAACTGAGCTCCAGGGTGGTGATCACTTGTCCGAGGTTGCACATAAAATGATAGATCAAGAGCTGGAAGGCACCCTCAGAGACCACATATCTCAACCCCTTTCTTTTACAGATGAGGAAACTGAGCCTTAGAAATGTTAAGTGACTTGTGCCAGGTTATACATCAAGTGAAAGAACCAGGAATGCTACAACCAGAGAAAAGAAGACTTGGGGTGGACATTATAGCTGTCTTCTAGTACTTGAAGCGCTACGAAAGAGGAATTAGCCAAGGCCTATTTGACAGGACTAGGGTCAGAACTAGGGACAATGGGGAGAAGTTGAAAAGAGGCAAATTAAGCCTTGTGGTAAGAAGAAGGCTTCCCAATGTAGCTGTCCAAATGTTGAATGGGCAGCCTCAGGAGGTAGTGAGCTCTCCATCCAGCCACTGACCACTTGCTCAGAATGGTATGGGGGCAAGTGCTGTTTGAGGACTGCCTGGATCAGAGAGAGGGACTTTGAAGTCCTTTTCCAGCTTGGAAATTCTGTGATTTGAATTTTGGTTGGAAATGGAAGCCTAGGTGGGGAAGGTGGAAACTGACCTAATGCTTCTTTCTTCTTGCCTTGTGTGAGGCCAGAACCAGGACTGGCCAGATGCCACCCAAGCAGAGCAGATCAGTGGGCACAATCCAGAACAGAGTTCACAGGGACAGAGTTCAGTGCCTGAATGGGGTCAAGTATTAATTCATCTTTGCTGTTGGATAAACACCAAAGAAACACCACTAGCTGGCTTAGATGGTTCTATTAAAATGGCTTACCTCTTGTTTGGATGCTAGAGATGAGAGCCTGGCAGCATAGCAAATTCTAGGTTCTGGTTTTGGGCACCCAATCCATTTTTTAACAGAGTAAGTGAATCTCTGCCTCCACTAAACTCCTCCCCTGATGCTTCATGGTAACGGGGAGGAGACCTACCTCCTCCTTCAAGATACGTTCTTGAAGGATATGGCCGGGAAGCATAAACTCTGGTAGCTTCAACCAAGCTGGAAAGGCTTCTAGAAGGTTCTAGCAACAGACCAGGAGCCAGCCTTGTTAGACTCAAAGAGGCTCAACACCAGAAGGTCATTCCTCTCCCCTACCCCTGCCCAGCAATTCATGAAAATAATCTACTAAGGCATCAGGAGGGTATGATATGTGCCAAGGGAGGGAGTACCCACACCGAGCCCACACTGATGAAATGCCAGGCCCTTGGAGAAGTGTCTTACTCTTCAATCTTCTGACTCACCTTGTCCCTTGTTCTGGGCAGAGTCTAGGGCATAAAGGGAAGCATGGCCTGGGGGTGAGGGGACCTGGGCTCAAGACCTGTCTCTGACATGTGCTGGCTGTGTGACCCTGAGAAAGTCACATGATCTCTCAGTGTCCCAGGCAATTCTCTAAGACCAGTGGTGTCCAATTCAAATAGAAATGGGGGCCATTAACCTGTACAGAAGGATCCCCATGGGGCACAAGATGAACTTAGTCTTAAAATGTGATATTATATTTGTTTTATTGTATTTGTATTTATTTTGTTCAGTATTTCCCAATTACATTTTAATCTGGTCCATACTGAACTTGGGGGAGTGATGTAGGTTTTCATGTGGTCTGTGGTCATACGTTTGATGCCTCTGCCTCGGACTGGAAGTTACTGCATCAGCGAAGGGAATTTCCATACGAGGTTCCATGTTCATTGAAGAAAACCCAAATCTAGGCCAAATATATTTATTTATCCATAGGGATAGGGAGTGGACCTGGGATTGGCATCAGAAGTTAACACATATGCTTTTTGACTCTGGGCAAGTCATTTAACCTCTAATTGGCTCAGTTTTCTCACTGTCAAATGGGGATAATAATAGCATCTGCCTCCAAAGGTTATGAGAATCAAATGAGATATCTGTACAATTCTTAGCACAGTACCTGGCACATAGTAGGTGCTATATAAATTCTTGTTCCTCTTCCCTTCCCTTCCCCAATGGCCAATGAGTGGACATACCAATAGAGGAATTGAGCTATAACAGTATTGACCCACAGAGTGGTAAAAAGACTCAGAGGCAGTCCTCTGGAAGGTTGAGTGGACCTCCTACATAGGACTTCTATGAGGATATGGACAAAAGTCACCCAAGATGCAAAGGGATGGATTGATTGTGATCTGTATCTAGAGGCACATTCATATCAATCACTGAGCTTGTAGATGCAACCCAATCCAATCCAACAAGCCCTTATTAAGTACCTGCTATGTGCCAGGCACCAGGCTGGGCACTGGGGATACAGAGGCAGAAATGAAACAGCCCTTGTCTTTGAGGAGCTTGGAATATTGCAGAAGCATTTGATCATGCTAGATTGTGGGGAAAACACTCAAACTGGAAAATGCCAAGTGTTCCTTGTATAGGAACTATTCAGCTCTGCAGAAGGGCTTGGGCTAC